GAACAAAATTTGTCGAGTAAGACTTCTGCCTTTTTCTCTTTTGTAAAAAAAACTACCAATTTATTTAAAAATGATGTATAATCTGTGCTTTAAATGTATTGTTATTAATTCTTATATTCACGCAATGCATTCTTTTTTAGCGTATAAAAAACCCATTTTTTATAGTAATTTGTTGGGCTAGTGAATTCCACCCCTTACTTTTTTGAAATGAAAAATATAATTTATGCTCATAACATTATAGACATTATAGACATTAAAAGCATTAAACGGGAGAGCTACTAATTGAAAAATAAGATTATAACTCCGACTCTTTTAAAACGGGGTTTTAAAATTTCTAAAGCTTTTTAAGATGTATTTTTTATGATCCATATAATCCGCCATATATACTGGCATCATTAAATTTGCCGTGGCTTTGGTACATTTATAGGGCGCAACGTAAAGTTTTCCAAATATCTACTATTAGTTTTGCAATTTACCTGCAAATGGGGTTCTAATTTTCGAAATTTCATAGTTACAGTGTGCGGTTTATGCTTGCCTAACATGCTCAATTGAGCTGTATGTCATCATCTATTGTGTTTCAACTGAAACCCGAATTGTATTAACAGTTATTATTTTATAGGGTTTCCAATCTGTATACCAAATAAAAAATTTTAAAGAAAAATATTTAAATTTAAGTACACGGAGAGAAATGTATAGTAAATTTTAGATAGTAAAAAATATATACTAAAATTTACTTTAACAAATTTTTAGGGTAACAATATTATATATTCGTCAATACAATACTAAGATTGTTATACAAAATTCTATTTTTTATTATACAATTTTATTAATGATTAAAACACCAATATTACTAAATCATAAATGTAAAATATATATTTTAATTTTTAATATGTTCGTATTCGTATTAATAAAAAATATAGTAAAAATAAATATACTTTTATGTTTAAGGTAAATAAACAATATATTTAAATATTTATAATATACAATATAGTATAATATAACTCATGATATTTTAAACATTCAATTTTCTTAGTTTCTTCAATAAACTTTCTTGACCCATTACTGGTAATACTTATAAAAAAGAATTGAACCTACTTGGTTGCATAGTATGTACCGATTGCGGCAAAGGCCACTTCGCGACGCGTCGTTAGACGGTGTGGATTACGTGATGTTCTTACATCTCGCCTCTGTTAGCTGACCAACTATGTTATATAAGCTCAGGTATTTCTTTGTTTTGGGTGTGTTCCGCTACTACAAGTTGCTCGACAGTGTCGTGTCGACACTGATGATACCCAATATAGGTCAAAACACCTGTCTGTCGGTATTTGAAGTTGATGGAACGCACTCAAAACAAAAAACTTTGGCGAGGTGTAGGTTCAATTCTTTCTCATAACATTTTTGTATATTAAAAAGTACAATAAATATGTTACAATTTTTAATTGTTAACATATAAAAATATTCGATTTTAAAATATTTTATTTATATTTAAAATGGCAAGATAATATTTTAAAATTTACTATACTTATTAGTAATGGAAAAAATCTAATCATAATAAGAATTAAAAACAAAATTGGTTGAGAATAATAATATTTTACCTTAAGGTTTAACATACATGGATATTTAAAAATTACTAAATATGCATAGTATCTGGCAATATACAAGATAGTTGTCCCAGACGTTTAATAAGTCCATTTCTGAAAAGAAAAACATTTAAAATTCTCAAAAAAAATTCTTGAACAGGTCGATTTTATTTTTCATTTCCGACATCTCTGACGTAATCGGCAATTTTTTTTTAATTGTACCCCTCCCTTTTTGAGATTTGAATAGATAATAAAATTGTGATTTTAGCAATATGCACATTTATACCCTTGGGGCTGATAGTTTCGGAAATATTAATTATTAAAAGTGGAAAGTTTATAGTTTTTAATAATGGTGTAATGCTTTATATTTTTTATTAAAAGACTTTTTAATGGGGTTTTAATAAAATTAAAAAGTGTTTATAAAAGAAATTTTCATAAACTTTCCCAAAACACTTCGTTTTAACGTCAAACTTTTTTAGTTTATTATTTTTCTTTGGTATTCTACAAATAGCAAGTGTCGATATATATAGAAGTTTTTTATTTTATATTTCTTTGTTGACATAAAAATTTTTAAATCACGAACTTTTAAATTTAATAATACCCAAAACTATAATCCCAAAATGTATACTTGCTGAATTCAGAATTTCATAATCTATTTGAATCTGCAAAAAAAGTAATTAAAAAGCAAAATATGTTCAATGAATTTTTTAAGGAAAAAAGGCCCATTTTTTAATTAATTTACAATGTAAATATATAATATATATATATATATATATATATATATATATATATGTATATTAAAAGTATGTTTACTAAACATTGTTTGGTCGTTAAACACTTTAAAAAATGGCGAATGCACCGGGATTTAAAAAATTCGGTGGTGGAATTTAAAAAATCTATTTCTAGCAGTTATTCATGTAATCACACTAGTTTACAGCTATTTTGCCCACCATTTCTCACTATGATTTTCTTGTGTAGTTTGGATTACTAAACGCGAAAATCACACTTTTTTCATGGAAGTGTTTTCGAGAAATGAATTTTCAATTGTTTTTTTTTTAATTTTCTGAGATTTTTTGACATTTAGAGTATACTTTAAGTTCTAATTGATCGATATGACCAAACAAGCACTTAAATCAAAGGTAATTGAGCCCTCTATAACTTTCTTTTGTATAGTTTTGGTATTGGCTCAGTAGTTCGATACTGGCGATTTTATGAAGTTAAAAAAGTCCTTTTTTACAAAAATCGAGGTCGAAAATTTACATATATTTCTGGGAAAGATAGAAATCGAAAAGATAAGTTCAGTTTAATTTATTTTACGTATAGATTATACTTAAAGGAAAAAATAAGCTGCTGTTGATAAAAATCCATGGATAAATGGCTGGTTATGAATTCTTCAGTGGAAGAGCAAAATTCAGTTTTTCGAGAATTTTTACGTTTTTTTTTTCATTTTATTGAATTATATAAAATTTAATATTTAATGATGATTTTTATTTAAAACATTAAATATTGAAATTAAATTATATATTGTATATTGAACAATAAATATTGAACATTAAAGATATTGAAAGTTTTATTTTGTTTTAATAAGCATAGGTTTAAAAATTCTGGCTCCTTCTTTGTTTTTTGTTGCTTTCGTGTTCCGTTTCTCGTATGAGGAACAAAATGTAATCACCCATCATGGCTGCATCCCAGAAGCCGTGATACCGCCGCTCCATAGCCTTCATTTACTGGTGAAAACGTTCTCCGTGCTCATCACTTACGTCGCCCAGATTGTGCGGGTTATTTACGCACTTGAACACTTTTTATTAACTTAATAAAACAATGATAAAAATACCTTGTTGAAATATCAAAAAATATCATTGAAATGTCTCTATGTCAACACGAGAAACAAAGGATTTCACGTTTGTTAAATTTAAATTTTGAATAATGTTTTCGGTGCAAAGTACGTAAAAAACTCAAAAATTCCAATCATGCACTTTACTTAGGTTTTCATTAAAGAATAAACATATTACAAAATAAAAGAACAAAATCGTCAAAAATCTGAATTTTGGTCTTCCACTAAAAAATTCATAACGCCATTTTTCCATGTATTATCAACATTAGCTTGTTCTTTTTGTAAAAATGTCAGCTTCACGAAAAAAATTCAAACTGGATTTAAACCCTTACCAGGACGATATGTAAATTTTCGACCTGATTTTTGTCATAAAAACGAATTTTTGAAGTTATTAAAATCGCTAGCGTCAAAATACTTATCCGATATCAAAGTTTTAGAAGGTCAAAATACATGGATATTAGATTTTGTAAACTAGTGTTATTGGCAGAATATAAATTTTTTTATTTAAATCCTATATTCGTAAATTTAAAATTGAACCTAACAATATCTGGGAATACAAATGAGGAGCAGACTTTCTAGATGCATTTTGTCCATTTTTTTAAACCTTCAACGGAAGATGGCATCGCAAACTATAGTTTGCAATGTCATGTATACATAAACAGCGCTACATAATGCTACATTTTTCGCATGTAGAAAGAATATTTGCATAATTTTTCATCTATTTTTTAAGTATAAAACACTTTCAGTTAATTTTTAGCGAAACGCGTAGCAGTTTTTCTTTATTTGTCAAAATTACAAAGAATGGACAGGCATTTGGAAAGTCTGCTCCTCAAATTATGCTGCACTTGAACGTTTAAGTGGGGTACAAAAAATGTCCAACCATTTCTGGAGAAAACTGATGTATTCCCATTGTCAATATTTTTCTTGTACCCGCGTTCCTTTATACAAAATTACACCGGACAAAGAACCTCTAAAGTCTTTTCGCTTTACTTATACATCATTTCATCCTTTGGCCTATGTTTTTTTAGTATTAGAACACAAAATTAAAATAATAATAATAATATTTATTGGTCTAAAGATCATACAATGACATGAGGCAATTCAATTCAAAAACTATTATGTTATTCAAGTATATATAAATTAAATACCTACAACAACAAAAAACTATGGTAAATCAAAACAAATTACAATAGCACTTCATTTAAAAATTCTTCGACTGAATAAAAAGCTTTTTCAAGAAGAATCAATTTTAAGTTATGTTTGAAAGAATTTAAAGTTTGAATTTTAAGAGAAGTATCTAGCTTATTATATAATAATGCACCTATGTATGTAAAATGGATTCGACTTAAACAGCTCAAGCCGGTGTATACTTACATAATTCTAAATTAGAACCATGTCTTATGTTATATGTATGATGTTCATTAAGACTAGAAAATTTTAAAAGGTTCTTTTTAACATAAATAAGTGACTCTAGAAAATAAAACAATATAAAAAATGCATTACAACAAATATAAAAAACTTACTGCTAAATTTAAAAACATATTTACCTTAAATATGAAATCTAAAATATATTTTCTTTGTTTCAGCTCAGCAAAAATTGTGTTTTACCAAAGACCACTTCTACCGAGATCTGTAAGAGATCGTGAGGCCCCGCAACGCATGTACTTCACATACTACAGCATGTTGCTTTTAGTTTAACCCATTAGTAAAAAAAATTATAAATATTGTATACAATGTATTAAAGCAAATAATTAGAGATCGATAACCAAATCGATGTTATTCGTAAGACAATCGACTATCATTAGATTTTAAGAAGGACCGTTTTATAAAAAAGTCTCGTTCATCGGTTAGTGATGCGTAAATGCTCTCTAAAATTTCGATTTTATGGCATACTTTAGAATAATTCTTGTTTTTAGAACAATTATTGTTTTTAAAAGTCATTTAAATTTATACTTATTTAGCAAAGTTAATCCGGGGAAACACTGTATTTAGCTTCTCCAATGACATACACACACTGCCCGTCAAAATTAACGCATAATAAGTAAAAAAATTCTAAAACGCCTTTACCAATCTTTATGAAATTTTGCTTTTTTTGTTTACGTGTTCGAGGGTTTTAAACAAAATATTTTTAAAGCCCAATAATTAAATAATAAAAAACGTTCTAAAAATAACTTTTGGAGATTTTTTTTAAGTAAATTAAAAATATGGCGTTAAAGACCAAATCAATTGAACAGTAACAAAAATACAGCGCTTCAAAGTCGGTAAAAATTAGCCCTTTTTGATTATTTTGCTGAAAAATGGTCATTTTTGACGACTTTAAATCGCTAAATTTTCGTTACTGTTCGTTAGATTTGTACAAAATTTTTAGGGTTTACTAACATTGTTAGTAAGGGTTTTTCGAGAAAATATCCTTTCATAATAAAAAACGCTTAAAAAAAACTTTTATAAGGAAATTTTTTTTAAGTAAATAAAAAATATCCTGTGAAAGATTTACTTCATAAAAAAATTTCCCTATAAAAGTTTTTTTTCGAGCGTTTTTTATTATGAAATAAAAGGGCTTTAAGGATATTTTCTCGAAAAACCCTTGAACACGTAAACTGAGATATAAGTTAAAGTATTTTTATCCAAAATTTTATAGATTGGTAAAGGCGTTTTAGAGTTGATTTTTTTTTATTTGTTATGCGTAAATTTTGACGCGCAGTTTATAACCACACTCCACCCATCAAGGTTCTATCTCGTTTCTCGCATACTAAAGATCACGAAGTTAGGCAACCAACTGCACAGACGGCGGCCATTTTTATGTTGTTTACAATTTTTGTGCTTTGGGTTTGTGCTGTTTATACAGATATCGTTTTAAACGTTGTAAGCCCCACATGAGGCCTTAAAGTGCTCAAGACAACCATTTTACTCTTTTGTAAAAAATAAGCCTTATTCTATCAGGGCCAATTTTTTGGTAAATTTACTATAACCCACAAATTTACATTATTCATAAAATTGACATTTGACAGTTTAATGACAGCTGTCATTAGCTAGCCCTCAAAGAATAAGGTATATTTTTTACAAAAGAGGAGTAAAATAGTTGCCCTTAGCACTTTAAGTCCTCACAAAAATGTATTTTAGAAAACGAATTGTCAACATAAAATTTTTGGACATGTACTGTTCTTAATCTCACCGATTCAATTGTAAACAACATTAAAATGACCGACGTTAGAGTCTGTGCAGTGGGTTGCATAACTTCGTGATTTTTTGAGATGGAATCATAGAACGCGGTAAAATAACTATACTTTTATTTCTAGCACACTATTTATTAGTGTATAAAATATTTTTTATTTACATTGTGTGAGATTTGACCAATAATTATTATTGAACATTTTTATAAATCGGTTCATAATTTAAGAAGCTTTATCTGTTCCTCTTCTAGTCAATTTTTATGCTTTTTTTATACAACTTATATTGCGTTAAAAGTTTTAACTTAAAACGTAATAACTTCAAAGGCTGTCAATATAGAGTAAGTATATAGTTAAAGCTCTTGATTATTTTTCGTCAAAATTACTATTGGATCGTACAAATTTTTATTCTGACGAGTTCAGTTAATTTAAATTATGTTCAATAAACTTGTTCAAGCCTGTAAATTGGTTTGGATGTTTTAAAGGATGTCATTTTAAATTAAAATCGTTGTATTTTTAAACCAAAGGACTAACAATAATTTAAATTTTATTATAATTGACGAAAAACGATCGATTTAGCAGGCAGTTTTGGTTTATTATTTGTATTTGTTCTAAAATTAAATTGATTATTGTACCCGTGCAGAAAGGATTGTTAAGATTTTATGGGCCATCGTTTCTGCAATAAACCAAAACTGAATTTCATAATGTATTGTGTGATAATCTTGTTTAATAAATTATTTTGTTATGTTAAGTTTTGTTTGTTTGTATAAAAAAATTGCTGCGAGGAACGCATATATATGAAAGTTTGAACAGGGTTGGTGTTTTTTCAGGTTGTTTTTTTTTGTAAAATATTTATTTTGTTAATAATATAACTAAGATATTTCCTTAGAAACTTCTTAAATTATTATATTTACCAAAATATAAATAATTCTTAAATACTTTGTTTTATTTGTATTAAATCCAAAAGTAAAAATATTAAAACTCTTAAGGGAAATCAAAGAGGTTTGTATAAAACTTTTTAAACTCGCAAAATTTAAATCTAAAAATAATTTCAATATTATACACAAAAATACTTTTGTCCAGCTGCTAACAGTATTTCCTGAGGGAAATTATTCTGGTTTTTAAGTAAACTTTTTGTGTTTTTAAGAGCTTGCGATCATAAATCATATTTGTGTATTATATTTATTTCATTTGTGCTGTAATATTTTTACAAAAATATATTTCAATTTTTCCCAAATGGCACTAGACAGATACCTATAAGATGAGATTTGCATGACTACCTAAGATAAAGTGTTAATTTTTCGAAAAATCTTAATTCAATTCTAGACAATTTTTAAAATCCCTCTTCCAATACATTCCTAAAGACGCACTAGAAATATTCATGTCATCAAAATAAGCAGTTTCAGAAGCATTTGCGTGCATTTTTATTCGGTAAAATTAAAAAAGTATTTTGTGCGAAACCCTCGGAAATTTTCAGGTTAATTTACCATATCCAACAAGTTTACAATATTCATAAATTAACCTTAAAATTGACATTTCAGTGGAATGACAGCCCTCATAGAATTAGGTTTATTTTTTACAAAAGAGGAGTAAAATAGTTGCTTAGCTCTTTAAGGCCTCTTAAATTTTGTAAATAATTTATATCTCCTCACAAAAATTTTTTTTAAACTCTTAAATTGATTTTAGAAAACAAATGGCCGACGCTAGAGTCTGTACAGTTGGTTGCCTAACTTCGTGATTTTTAGAGAACAGACCATGTTGTGAATTGTGCATTTAACTATATAACCACGCAATAAAATAAATTTACTTATATCTCTGGCACACTATTTATTAGTGTGTAAAATATTAGTTTATTTACATTGTGTGAGATTTAACCAATAATTATTAGTGAACATTTTTATAAATCGGTTCATAAATAAGAAGCTTTATCTGTTCCTCTTCTAGTTAATTTTTATGCTTTTTTATACAACTTATATTGCGTTAAAAGTTTTAACTAAAAACGTAATAACTTCAAAGGCTGTCAATATAGAGTAAGTAAATAGTTATTTTTCGTCAAAATTACTATTAGCTCGTACAAATTTTTATTCTGACGAGTTTAGTTAATTTAAATTATGTTCAATAGAACTTGTACACGCCTGTAAATTGGTTTGGATGTTTTAAAGGATGTCATTTTAAATTAAAATCGTATTTTTAAACCAAAGGACTAACAATAATTTAAATTTTATTATAATTTACGAAAAACGATCGATTTAGCAGACAGTTTTGGTTTATTATTTTTATTTGTTCTAAAATTAAATTGATTATTGTACCCGTGCAGAAAGGATTGTTAAGATTTAATGGGCCATCGTTTCTGCAATAAACCAAAACTGAATTTCATAATCTATTGTGTGATAATCTTGTTTAATAAATTATTTTGTTATATTAAGTTTTGTTTGTTTGTATAAAAAAATTGCTGCGAGGAACGCATATATATGAAAGTTTGAACAGGGTTGGTGTTTTTTCAGGTTGTTTTTTTTGTAAAATATTTATTTTGTTAATAATATAACTAAGATATTTCCTTAGAAACTTCTTAAATTATTATATTTACCAAAATATAAATTATTCTTAAATACTTTGTTTTATTTCTATTAAATCCAAAAGTTAAATATTTAAACTCTTAAGGGAAATCAAAGAGGTTTGTATAAAACTTTTTAAACTCGCAAAATTTAAATCTAAAAATAATTTCAATATTATACACAAAAATACTTTTGTCCAGCTGCTAACAGTATTTCCTGAGGGAAATTATTCTGGTTTTAAAGTAAACTTTTTGTGTTTTTAAGAGCTTGCGATCATAAATCATATTTGTGTATTATATTTATTTCATTTGTGGGTATAATTTGTGCTGTAATGTTTTTACAAAAATATATTCCAATTTTTCCCAAATGGCACTAGACAGATCTGAGATGAGATTTGCATGACTACCTAAGATAAAGTGTTAATTTTTCGAAAAATCTTAATTCAATTCTAGACAATTTTTAAAATCCCTATTCCAATACATTCCTAAAGACGTTCTAGAAATATTAATGCCATTAAAATAAGAAGTTTTAGAACCATTAAATCTATTTGCGTGCATTTTTATTCGGTAAAATTGAAAAAGTCTTTTGTGCGAAACCCTCGGATAGATAGAAATTTTCAGGTTAATTTCCCATAACCAACAAATTTACAATATTCATAAATTAACCTTAAAATTAACAATTGACAGTTTAATGACAGCTCTCATAGAATTAGGATTATTTTTTACAAAAGAGGAGTAAAATAGTTGCTTAGCTCTTTAAGGCCTCATAAATTTTGTAAAATAATTTATATATCCTCACAAAAATGTTTTTTAAACTCTTAAATTAATTTTAGAAAACAAATGGCCGACGCTAGAGTCTGTGCAGTTGGTTGCCTAACTTCGTGATTTTTAGAGAACAGACCATGTTGTGAATTGTGCATTTAACTAAACTGCTCGTCATAAAAAACGACGCACCTAGTTTTTTGGAAAATATTTGAAAGCTCGTTATTGGAAAATTACTGAATCGATTTTGAAAATCTTTGA